TCCCATTATAATTCTCTATATCTGTCTCCCAATATGAAATTTAATATGAATTAGCTAAAAACAAATATGGAACTTTATCTTTACTAGAAACTACCATTCCACCTACAATATATTTATTAGAAATACTATTATGTGAATATAATCCCATTTGAATAGCATAATCATAATCATCATTTGTTTTATCTATTTCTTCATTACTCTGGATATCTTTTATTTTCATATCAGTCATATCTACTTTATATAAATACTTAATAACCTCTTTTGCCATAATTTCATTCACCAATGGAACATTAGTAGTAAAATCAATACTATAATCTTTAAATACTTGAATATCAAGTTGGTTCTCTGTCATATTCTTATTCTTATTCTTATTCTTATTTTCTAGTTCTATTCTATTCTCTTTTTTATATTGATAGAAATTAAATGAAAAATAGAATAAAGATTGAATTATTTTAATTCAATTAGATAATTAACCTTTTAATGCTACCTTGTAGTTAATTGTGATATTAAATGCACAATCCCCACTTGGTTTAAAATAAAGTCTACCACAATGAATAGCTGGTGCTACACCTGCATCATATAATGGACTATTAATAATACCTAATTTATCATGAAGATATTCACATTCTCCTTCATTTTCTGAATCATCTTGATTATCTTCTCTTTGAGTTTGCCAATTACCGTCATTCAATGCAAATGTTGTTTGATCACTTAATGACCATGTAGTTTTATATGAATGAACTACTGGAGAGTCAGTACTCATAGTCTGTGGTTTCTCTATTACTAATGTAAATGATTCATTATTATTAAAGGTAAATTTCTGTTTATAGTTTAGAAGTGAATTATCATAACTTGGTTGAATTTGATATAAAGTATTGGTGTTTCAATTGCATTATTCATCGAATAGAAACAATTTACTGTTTGGATGATATTCTGATTTCCTGCAAACATATTTGTAATTGGTTGAACCTTAATAATAACTCTTAGAATCCTTATAGTATCCCAATCTCCAAATCTAAAATACACTTGATTACTACCACCATCAAGAGCATTTCCTTTATGCATAAATGATAGAATATTACTTGATTTAGTTGGAAATAGAGGGAGTGAACTTCCAGTAGCAGCACTAATTGCATAATTTGGATGTTCATCTGTCAAATACATCGTCTTCTTTTCATTCAATTTGATTAATTTTACCTTAGTAGGGAAGTTACATTTAAGAATATCCTTCTTGATACTTGATAAGAAAGCTTTTGATTGTCTATATCTATATAAAGAAAGATTTCTTCTTCTTCTATAATTGTATCTAGTTGGTCGTCTAAAATCCATAAGAACTAGTAATATTAGTTCATGCAATTTATTGGAATAATAGATCCTGAGATTGGAGAAATTAACAAAGGTTTAGATCAACAAATTACCTGGTGTAAACAATGGGCAAATAACCACAATTATTTATACAAGCAAGACATTATCTTTACAAAAATAGATAAAAGAAAAGGAGAAGATATTGATATTAGTAGTAGTGTAATGAATTTAATTCAATTGTATTTAGTAAATAGAGAGAGAAAATATAAGTATATTTATATGTATTTTAATACACATGGAATTACTGATGAAGATGGTGAAGCAATTAAGTTAAATGAGAAATCATATATTAGAGAACACAAATTACACACTTATTATTTAATAATAATGTAAGACATGTACCCTTTTTTTTTGAATGTTGTCATTCAGGAGGATTATTTCAACCTGATGAATCATGTATTTTTCATACAGATAGAATAATTAAAAATCCAACACTTGATTATCATTATAATGAAGATAATAGTTATAGTATGTGGAAATCAAATATTACAGTCTTTAGTACATCACTTAAAGAACAAAGAAGTTATCAATTGAATGAAGAAAATAAAGGATATGGATGGGCAACACAAAAAATAAGTGAATTAGAAAAGAGTCCATTTGATTATACTCCTATTTATGTAGTTAATTGGTTAAATAAACAAATAGGTAAGGAACAATATGCAATTGTTCAATCATCAACATTAATTCCAACATGGTTTTAATTATTAACATTAACAATAAACATAAATGATTAATTAATTAAGATTTAATTATTTTAATAGCATTAATTGAGATTTTTCTTTTTCAAGACTTTCTTTGGAAGACAGTTTGTTGTAATAGGACTCATTTCTGTACTTCCATCATCATCATAAATGTCATCAAGCGACTGTTGTCTAAATCCAATGAATTGCATTTTTATATTGAATTGCATAGCAACATCATTTTCTCCAAGATTTTCTTTTATAAAACATAAAGTACCATATGATAAGAAAGAACCACTAGTATCCATATCAGTACTATCATACTTATCTAATACATCAGTAGGAATTGCTTCATTTGGGTTGACTGTAGCATCTTTTGGTTCAAATCCATCTCGAGTAATTTTGAATCTTCCAGGAGTGACATTTCGGATAACATAATAGATTCTATTGTAAGTTGATGATTCTTGACGATTTCCTGCACTTTTAACAACAGAGTTCTTTAATTTTCTAGTGTCTTTAGTTAAAGGATAGAAAGAAACAGTAGTTCCAGTGATACTTGTTGACGCTTGTGTAGATTGAACAAAACCATATTCAATACAAAAGCATCATATCGTTTTAATGAATCATAATTTCTGAATAATTTAGGAATGAGATGAGTATAACCATGATCCTTATAATTAATAACAGGAACACCATCCTTTCGAGTACCTGTTTTAGCTGTTTTTGAATAGTAGAAAGATAAATTAGCTTCTAATGTGACAGTTTCAGTTTTACAATTAATGAGGGGACTGTACAAGACAGCATTGGAGATTTTTTTAGCAGCAATTAATCCAGCTACAACTTGTTTTTTGTTAGCACCAACATGTTGTTGTAAGACTTGTTCTTTACTAGCATCATTCTCATCTATAGGACCATCTAAAAGATAGAACTCAGCATCAGAAATAGGAGTACCACCTAATTGGTGTTTATAGCCATGAAGACCACTTCTCTGGATTCCTTGAACTATACCTTGACCAGCATAATTGCTAACATTTAAAGCATTAGGAAGGACTTTACTTAAGAGAGTGGATAGAAAACTCATTGATAAGAATAGAAATAAGAGATCTAACTAATAAATAGCATCTATCAAATTGAAATGAGAAATAAAAATAAGAGATTGGGACGATTATTTAGAGATTTAGATTAACTAAATAATACAGGAAGAAAAAAAAGGAAACCCAAGAATGTATCAGAAGTGATGGTATATCAACCATATCCAGTTAGAATTGAATGTAATGTAGCAGACCCAGAAGATAAGAGAGATGGTTATAGTACCAATAATGTTAGGAGAATGATTAGATTGAGATAAAATAGATCCAGAAATATTCAAATTAAAAAAGTCAATTTATCAATAGTCCATACTATCAAAGTAGTGGTAGTAAATCAAAGTATTGAAGGATATGTGTCAGGAACATATCCAGTATATATTCAAGCATTCTCAGGAAATACATTTGGAGAAACTGAAGCTACAAAAATGAATGAATTAATCTTTACAGTAACATATATATCAGCAAACTCTAGATCTAATGTTCAAGCTTAATTTAAGGATAGTATCTATAAGACAGTACTTAATTCAGAAACAAAAGAAGTAATCAATAAGGAAGTTATTAAAGGAAATACAGTAATAGATGGATCATCATTAAAGAATGGTACAACAATATTACAATTAGGACATATAGCAATAGCCATTAGAAAAGATGATTTCAAATGTAAATATATTTCAGGAAGTACAGATAGTACAGGTGCTACTTTCAGTATTAGAGAAGATTGAAGAATGAAGGAGTTTAAGAGAAAGAGAAACATGTTTGTAAAGGAAAGAACTAAGTGAAGGTAATAAGTATGTTGATAGTCTAGTAGATGGAAAGTTAATGTGTAACTACCAAGTAAACATTAGAGCAGAAGTTCTATTGCTTACATAAGAAAGTCATATTGAAATGATAATTGAATAAAGTTTAAAGAAAAGAAAAAGAGTAAAATAAGAATAAGATAAAGAACTAAAAGCATAATACAGAA